TCAAATGCTTAAATTAAGGGTGTTTCGTTTTTCGTGATAAAAAAACAAACGCTATAAAATAACGACATTTCAACCGATCAACGGTCATTTTCAAGTTGGGTAGAAGGTTTCTTTTCACAGGTTGTATTGTTGCTATGGTAACTTGTTACATGAAAAGGATGATACCTTTATTGTAGGACCATGTGATAATGAGTGGTAGTACTGATCAAAGGATAAGTGATTGAAAAGCTGGAGACGATTGTAAGCCTCTTTATTGAATGTAATGTCAATTTAATAGGCAAGATCAAGAGGAAGAAGATAATAACTCTCAAGTGAGGAGCGTTTTAATATCTTTTCCCGTAAGTCCACAAAGTATGTATACTTTCGTGGAGTCGTGGTTGCTAATCTTATAATTGGCTCAAAGACTATGAAATCAACGTGAATTTTCAAAATCATATACTGTATATATTGTTCCTGCTTTTAATTTGATAAGTAGATTGAGAGTTTCTTTAATGAGGGACACATATTGACTTAGCTTCATTTGCTATTACATGCTATTATCATAAAGTAATAATAATAATTTAATTTCAAAAATTGGCTTACCATTGCCAGGTTGGTTCCCTATAGATAAATCACAGCTCCCTTCACTCAAAAACGCCGGAGTGTGATGCGAAAACAAGCGCGGAACTAAAAAAAGACGCAACACCTGCCGTGTGACGTCAGACCCCTTCCGCCACAGGAAGACTTATTTTTGTATTTTCACTGCAACAAAGTCGTTTGGCTTTTATGTGAAAGCAGTTTTAAACGTAAACAAGCCAGCCTCCGGCCTGGTTCAATTGTTTGCCGAGGAGCATGTCCTGAACCGACGTCTAGGAAACTGAGTTAAGACCGGATACGAGATCGCCGTTAAAAATGGAAAAGCTGGATGTTCGGCAGCTTCCTGCAACTGTCTTCAACAGTTCAACTGCCGTGTGACGCATGTCTTTTAAATAAAAAGTATACTTCGGTTGGATCGCCGATGCTCGTTCTTTTTCAAGTTCGTACGATTCTTGGCTGTGTGCGATTTTTAAACACAAAACATCGCTTTATCTGTAGTAAGCTTTTCGTGGCATCAAGGCAAACTACAGCGAAAAAATGAGCTCAGAGCAAGCTGATAGCAGCGCCGCGGGAAACGAAGTTATAGCTACGGCAAGAATTAAACCAAATAGATACGAAGACTATGGCAACAGTAAAACCGGCAAGCTGGTAAATGCTAATTTGGAAACATCGCCTTCGCAAGCTCTTGCTAAAAACGCTGTTGGAAAGGCGCTGGATCGAGAAAATCCCCGAGAAAAAGGAGTTAAACTACATATCAAAGAACTAGATGTCCCGGGCAAAGATAATGGCAATTTGAATTCGGTTTTAACAATGCAAAGACCGAAAAGCGCCGTGTGCGCGGAGCAAGGCAATTTGTGCAGTTTGTTCGGCGTTTCACTCAACCATCCGTTAAAGTACAGTCGCAATGCTGTGGACATAAAAGACGTTATGGATAAACACAACGATAAAAGGCGAAGATCTTCTTGTTCCGATCTCAAGAAGACCTCGAGAGCTTCAGACAACTGAGCACCCTTACATAGATAAGTCCAATAATTACTACTTCAACCGTCGCATCGGTGTTCTACATAAAGCGGAAATCCAGAACTGAAGCGGATACTAAATGCAAAAAATGCGTAAATACAGTATTATTTATTCATCTGATTTATGTATAGTTTCCTTAGACAACCTCATATCCGTATATATTCGAAGCTGTTAATATTCAGGGTAGATTCAATGGCAGCTAGTTTAAGTAACATTGTTTGTAAATATAAACGGTCGTTCAGGTGATAGCAGTAAAAAGGGCAAAACGTAAAACACAAGATAATGTTAATTTATTTGAGTGGATTCAATCTTAAAAACGGACGGACAGCTTTGTAGTGTGAAGAAGACCAAATGCAAAACCTTATAATCAACAGCGGCGTTCGAGCCATGCGTTTTTAGCTTGTTCTCTCAGATTTTACATTCAGCTATATACATGGGCATTAAGAGAGTGAAAGCCAATCTGCATGCGATATTAAAAGATTTAGCTGTTAATCCTATCTTTGCGACATAGGGACTTTTGTGGTAAAATAGATTCAATTTCTCATAAAATCATAAGCTATATCACAACCAATTGGAATATCACAGTTGCTTGCCAAATTTACATACAACAAGAAAAAGCTGGATTTAAAATGTCAAATGCTGTTAATGGGAAAAAAATTAGGTGAAAATATCAATAATTTTGTAACCAGCCATGC